ATTAAAACAAAGGCAACTGATTTTAAATGAGTTGTTAAGTTGGCATTGAAGTAACTAAAAATTTGACTCTCGGCACTGCGTATTTATTCTTATTGTTATTATTATTATTAGTAGTAGTAGAAGTATTGGGAAATTGAAACAAATGGCCGAGTGATCACAAAAGCAATGATTCAGATCATCAGAGGGGCCTGAACTAATGACACACTCAATAGATGAACTATTTTACCGAATTTACTTCCACTTTCAGTAAAATACCTGAATGAAAAGATTGTAGGTGATTTCACATCTGGTAAATTTCATTCGTCTACCAGTTAAAGTTGTCAACAAATGAGCAGATCATCCCTGGGGTTAGAAGATCGATTCATCAGTACTATGTCAAACCACCCTAACCATCGACTTAGTCAGTACACGACTTCTCTTTTACCCGCACCTTGAAGTTACAGTTGATATGCGATATTGCAAGTGAAAGTGTTTTTTTAATGATTCATGGTTCATATCTAACTACCTTCGAAATATTTTAAATGGAAAATCCATTCCAGCTTAATTCAACTAAATTGGTTTAATAGGTATAACCTAATTTCTCTCGATTTAAGGACATCCAGTAGTACGATATTTTATGAAATAAGTACCCACTATAGTACCCTCAGTGAATAGACGAATTAAAACGAAAAGTTAGTACGTAATTATTGTTAAGTATACTTTCATAGTAAGATGCAACTTTTACATTAACTAATGACCCTACAGTACGATACGCTGGAGGTATTGATTAGTAGAACCGAATTTTCCAGTTAAAATACAACTTAGAATAATTATAGCGGTCACAATTTTAATAGCGAGTGCTAATGTTTCTTCCATTAAGTCTGATGTAAAGTTGATTAATAATTATTTATGTCAAATGGCAGTCTTTATGATAGTTATCATTAGCCTTTTAGTTGATTTCGGGATTCACGCAGGGGAGGAACATCAAAATCACAAAAAAGTCGAGAGGTGGAACTGAAGAGTGATTCACAGATGTAAAAGAGTCGACAGACACAACTGTAGAGAAAAATGCGAGGTGAGTACTGTGGAAGTGATCAAATATGACATGGACTTCCGTATGAGTGTGAGCTGCCCAGGGTGCACCACGTGGGGGGTAAGTCAATCGCGCATTCTTGATTGACTCAATAGGGAAATTCACATTCTTACACCAAAATGAGATAATATCGTCGGCACTCCATAACACTAAATCTCCACTGACGAGTAACGACCTCGTGTCCCCTGGCTTTGTTCTCATTTACGAACCCAAGTGAATTAATCACCTTTCGGGTGATTTCTAAACCTTAGGCCAGTGCTAAACTAATCAATAACTATCGGGTGTCATTAAAGAATAACTCAGCCACAGAGGGGAAATCGACAGGATTAACTTTTGGGCGATTCGAATGATTCTCTTTATCTCCACGTTCTCTGTGTGTAAGGTTAAATGGCAACGAAAAGGTGTTAAGATTAGAGCCAATGGAGTTAATACCGATTAGTCATTATTGATTTTTGAATATGACTGACTGAAATGGTTTGAATGGGTCAAAAGGAAAGAAAATGGCCAAGAGAAAAGGAGTAGTTGTAAGCTTGGAACTTATTCAATTGAACATTGTCAAGTCTTCCGTGCTTTATTTCAATAGATGAGAACCTTTCTGATTCAAGCCGATTTGAAAAATATCTCTTTTAGTAAATAAGGTTACAATTTTATTGAGAAAGCATCGAAATCGTGAGTGATAAAAGTCATTAAGTAACAAAATTTTATGGAAATTTTAATTTACGCAAATGCCGGGATTTTCCGAAATTCCGCCCAGGGCGGTTAAACGGAAAATTACATTTCATGAAACTATTTTTGGAAGAAAATAATCGCCAATAGGCGCTTATTCGGGTGAGCGGACTTTTGTAAAACCCCGGTAAAAGGATTAAAGCCATTTTGTCTTTAAATTCGCGAATCTCCTAAATCTGTTTGAATGGGACCGTCTCAACCACTATTTATAAACCTCAATTATAGCCATTCATGACAAAATAAAAAAAATTAACTCAAGACTCATCTAGATCTCGCTGCTTGCCAAAAAAGATAATTAAATGGATAATCAAAGTGAAGGATCTCAGCGCGATACGTGCGTGTGACCTGAATTTCAAGGTTGCTATTTACGGAAATCTGTCGGAACTGGACGCTGGCGCTAACAATATTTATATTGGCACTGCATACGCCGGACAATCGATGACTCATGCTGGAAAGTGATGCTTCTTTTTCGCCGGTTATTGTTATTAAAGAGATGAATATCTCGAAGGCTAACGGGTGGTAGTTAATAAGGGTATTTTGGAAAACGTGATTCGGTTTTCGTATTGTTTAAAATTGAAGCGCACACAGTGGGACTTGGATTTTACCTCACCTTCATAAGCGCGGAAACAGAGGTAAATCAAGTCAAAAGGGAATGAGTCAATTGCCCCAGCTGGAATTTTAAGTCCAATCCCATCACATATCTTGAGTAGAAGAGCCGCAACACCAAGCCACCCAGGTAAGAATTGAATCGTGCATACACCCCCCCCCCACCTTATTAGTGTTAGACTAAATCATTGCGTTTGGACATTCCACTCAGTGAGCATGCATCGATGAGGGAGACACTTAGTAATCAGCGTTTAGTAAGTGGCACTATTATTCACGGCACTACAAGATAGAGAGTAAAATAAATCAAACGTGCGTCAGGAATAAAGCATTAAAACTGAAGACCCACATGTAGAGTCCGCAACCATCGATCCAGCAACAAAGCTAATTCATGGAATTAGTAACCCCAACTACCGATTCGGTTTTTTTACGTACCGTCAAAATCGACCACTCGGTAAATCAAATGCACAATTAACCTACATATGAGGTAAGTCTTCCAAAGCATAAACAACCCCCATTTAATGAATTTAGACATATTGACAGAAATACTGCTTTCAATCAAGAAGTCACTTTTACCGAATAACGACAATAGTTTCAATTAATGACCACATACATAAGCGCCTATAATAATGAAGTAAATGCGAATCGCGCATACAAAACGGAGATGAGAGGAAGGGGATAGGGAGAGGAAATCAATTGCTATTACACAAACCAACTACAGTTCATCCTTAACCGGCTTCTCATCACTTGTCTCATCATCAAAATCTTCATCAGCAGCCTCTGACGACTCCTTATTCGTTTCAGTAGAACTCTTCTTCAGCTGGTCCTCCTCAAAAGCGAATCGTTTCCTCCAGTATTCGGCATGAGCCTGACACTCCTTCACATCATCTGATACAATGAAATTATCGAAGATAGTTCCAGACTTGACTTGCCAAAGATCAACGCCAATATAGGCAATTTTACGAGCGTAGATTTCATCATCCTCGAAATAATCGGGATTGGGAATCTGCGGTGGCTTCCATACGCCTTTATAAGCTGGATTAGGAATCTTTCTAGGCTCCCATTCTCCCTTGTATTCGGGATTATCGATCATTGGAGGAACCCAATCTCCATCAGTTTCATCATTCCAATCATCGGGTTTTTTGGCCGACGTATTTACGATGGTCTTTGGTTGATCCCAGTTGTCAGGTTTCTTATCATTTGGATCCGGAATTTCTGCTTCATCAACCCAATCATCTGGTTTTTTGACCTTTAAGTCCTAACATAAAAAATCAACATTAAAGAACATTAGGAGCTTACATCAATCATCTTGGGCGGAATCATATCGAAATCGGAAACCAAGGAACGGGTTTCAACATTGTCATTATCAATCAACACTTCAACGGTGTTATCAGGTTTGACAATGAGTGTATACAAATGAGTAAGGGTATCTGATTTGCATGGAATTTCCTTCTTCACAAGATGGTTCTGACCCTTGTATGAAAAGATGACATGAACGATTTTCTTGTCATAACCACAAATATCAGGGCCTAGAAAACAGAATAAAAGTACAAGGAAACATACCAAACATGATTTCATATGGAGTATCACCATGGAACTCTTCAGGTTTGAAAGACTCCCCAAGAAGTTTTACGTAACCACCACCACAGTCAATATCCTGTTCATGCTTGACTGTGAATTGGACGCAGAAAGATTTATCCTTGTTGGACAGAGTTTTATCGAATTTAGCAGAATAACGATAAAATCGAGCATCCTCAGTAGTTTTCATGCCACCATCCTCTTTTTCGTCTGAAACTTCTTTCGGCAGAGCGTATCCACACAGACCAAGTTTATCCTCTTCAGCTTTCGATTTCTCCCACTTTTCAATATTGCCATTATTAAATCTGTCTTCGAAATAAACTTCCGCTCGCAGATGATGCGAAAGCAACAACACTACTACAGACACCAAAAACACAAACCTCATGATAGGAGTTGTGAAACCACCTAGAATTATAGTTGGTATTATATGATTGGCTGTTAAGCATTGCCCAATGGCAGTGTACCACCGCATCCATACGTAAATTTACATAAACAAAAGAATTAACTAAGATATCTGAGTTATTGTGGATCTATTGTGATAAAAAGAAATTTAAATAGTTTTATTAGTCAGGTATATTATGAAGAAAATACATTTGTATAATTTAATCTGGAATACGAAAATTTCCTGAGTGGTCTTATTTATTATTAAAATTCAAACGCAAATGAAATTATCACTATTTTTGACTTATTAAAATAATAAACAAAACCCGTTTTGAAGGCAAAATATCATATTTCAAATATGGAAATAACAATAGCTTTAGAGCGGCTAACATTATACTAATTTCACTTCATCCAAGACTAATAATTCAGCAGAAGACATCGGTAATATTACTTCATTATACTTCGAAAAGAATAAATCATAAGTTTTGAGCTAGTTTGGGAAATATTTCTGAAGACTTTTCCATCTACTTATATACCCAATTTTCCCTTAGCCCTTGATTTTCACATTTATTGCATAAAGCGTGCACAATTTATGCTAACTTCATTTTCTCAAAAACACAATAATAAACTCAATCTAGAGTTCTGAAATTTTATGTGTGTTTAATGACTAATTAATGTTATGTATTGCTTGCAATCCATTCTTAATTGATTGCTCCTAATTATATACTAATAGAAATGATTAATTCTTGCCCAATTTATTTGTCCAACCAACTGTTCATCTTTTATTCAAGCCTTTTCACTAGGAAACCTCACTCATTGCTAACTAAAATAGACTAACACTATCATCTGACAACATTTGCTTTGCAATATCTTTTTGCTCCAATTACTAAAATAATAAAACTACTCCATTCTTTTGAGTAATAACTAAATAAAAAATATTGCCCTAGAAATGCTCTTGGTGTTGGCATTTTGAAGCGGATTGGAAGGCAGATAGACCTTTTCTTATTTCTCTTATCTCTAAGGCTCTTGGACTTGAAGAAATGTGATGATGTAGATCAGGATGTCGTGCTGTGAGTGAGGCGTTTATTGCAATTAGGATATCAGCAATCGTGATTAGACAATAGCATAATTAGCAAGAATCGTCATTTGCACGAGCCGCCGCAGCCTCCAGAAAGTCCGGGTGTGTGTAGATTGCGTAAACCACAATTCAGCCACTTTGGAAGTTTGAAGGAAGCATAAAATGAGATCTTGGTTATTTATCATATACCCTCGTTCATTTGTGATAAGCAAAGGAACTCGTGGTAATTGACCATTAGAAATCAGCAACTGAACAGGAAATACACCGGTTTCAGTAAAGCATTATTCAGTGCTCGAAATTTTTGCAAAATAAGATAATTGTTGATAAAAATATTTTGAAATTGAATAGGACTTAATTATGAATAATAACGTATTTCACAATAGCCTTACTGTAACCTTAAATAACATATTGATGAAGTAAAGATAAAAGTACTTTCAAAGACATTCAGACATAGTCAATAAAATCGATTGTGTAATGCTTTGTTGGTTTGGACTGAAAATCAATAATTACTTCCATCGAATGTTGTCGCGTTTGCAATTATAATGATAGGTAAATAGACATATTTTTCTGGAAATTTTCGAATGACAGTGTTTGCATAATAACATGGAATGGAATGATTGGAGTATATCCTTTCATATAGGCAAAACTGGAAGATTTCAACGTGTTCATTGTCACTCCAACTTCCATGTGAATAAGCATCTTCAATAGCACTACGAATATAGCCATCCGATTTTCGACTCAACACGCCTCCATATCAATCCTCGTGTTGTCAGATAGAGAGGGAATACTATCGCATCTTCACCACCCAATGTCACGTTTCTAGTCTTCGATGAAGCACAGGAAGACATTAGCTCTGACATGCGCAGTTGTTTGAGGTCGCAATTCTACTAGTCTCTTTCACCACATGCGACCCCTAGTCAGTGGAATCAGTTTGGAAGATTTAATGTTGTGACATTTATAAATTAAATGACATCATGCACATTTAGCAGCATATCTTGATATCAGAGCTTGCGGAGCCAACCTCAAAGGACTAGCTGAAGTAGCCGAGATCATTCAAGCACTCTGCGCTCTTCCACGTGTTTAAGTAATAAAAATACCAATTCCCAGAACACCACTTCAACCCCACAGCAATCTGAGAGTCTAACAAAAGTTTAGCAGAAGGTAGGGCCTATCATATCAAACCTTTTATACACAAATCTATTCGTACCGATGAATTCCGAGATTAGCGCTTGCCGAATCTTTGGAGCCGACTTGAACACCATCCTCAATGATAGTCAATCTAGTGAAGGAATTCGATACCGAGGTGTTCCAAACTGATACACGGATGCTCTTCAAGGAACTTTCAAATCTCCCTGATGAAATCAGCCCTGTACGTTGAGATACTCCTAGCTTCCTGCGGACAATTCTACTGCCTCAACCAAGAGACGTAACGATCTCATGAGGGAATAGGCAAAACCTACTGCCACGAACCAACAAACCTGCCAAAATCAGTCGCCCTAATCATTAGCCTTTACTATGGACACTGACAAGCTAACAACATTGCCCGATCCATGCCAATCCCTTGCGAGCTACTTAGCCAATCAATTTTGCCAAAAAGTACAGAAAACTAACCCCAATTAGATATAGATCGTTTCCAAAAGCTCCATCACCGCCTGCTAAACTGTAAACTATAGAACATAAAAAGCAACCTCACAGGAAGACAAAAGCAATATTGGAGAACTAAGTCGACAGAAACAAACTACTTGCAGAGAATGGTAAGCTGACACCTAAAGAAAAGCACCATTTATATAAACTCCAATTTGGCCTCCTCGGTAGAGACCAAGTATCCTGAAAACGCTCAACGGGGTGAGGAGTATTGTGGGGAAAATAATGCTCTCAGATCTGAGTACCAAGATAGTCTTGAAGATGGGGACGCACCGCCTGATGAGTAGGTAGAAATTGCGACTGTCGTGCGGAGAACCTTTAGAATAAGATAATTCAATAGCCACTGCATAGATTACTAAACTCTTCTTTGTATTTGAAGGCCTAAGCATTGTAACAGACACAACCTCTTACATAAATAAAAACTACAAGTTCGAAATGAGGAGAATGCTTAATTAAAATATGTTCAAATTCTCATAAACGTCACGAAAGAGACAACTCCCAACTGAATGCAACATTAACATGGCCACATCACAAACAATAGTTCAAAATTCAAAAATTTAATAACTAAATGGTCCTCAAAATTGTCACGGTTTAAAATAAAATTAAATTACACGAAATCTTGTCTTCAGAATTACAATTGCATGCAAGCAAGTCTCATGTATTTCATGTTCAAGAATAATAGAAAGATAGATGAAATTGGTGTACCGCTAACCTATATGTTAAGGCAAAAATAAAATTAAATGATCAAATAAATATTTATTAACATTAAAATTCTTATTACTTCTTCTTCTTCTTCTTATTGTTCTTATTCGTTGTCTACTCTTTGTTCTTATTATTCTTGGGCAGTTATACACATTTGAGAATAGCGATGGTTTAAGTAAAATTTACGTAATTTATACTAATTACTATAGTTACAATGTTTAGGACTGAATGTCATGATACTGCAAGAAAACTCTATATCTGTTGGTCATGTTGGAACATTCTTGGATTTCTACACTGTTAATAAATCCGAGCTCTAAATTTCTTTTCCATCTTAACCCAATTTATAATCGTCATAATATTGTACAAGTTACACTACTATGTCTTCAAATAAGTCCAAATGAAAACCTAACTACACAGTGACCAATTGGAATTGAATTGGACTTTGAGAGGCTTTTTTGGTGCTAATCTTCTGGGAGTGTTGTCAACTTATAGTCTTGATGTCGTTCGTTTCAGTACTCAGTGAACTAAACTAATGCATGTAGTAAGAGAGTTATTGTAAAATTGTCATTACTTTTAAGCCGTGAAGCCTAACATGCAATACCACTTGAAAATCCACTTAAACTGGTTACTAAATTTGGGATGAGATGACGCAATTAAATTCAGTGCTTTGTTGTGGGAGTTTAATTGATGACGTAGATTTGGCATATCAGTATTTACTGATTTCCAATGAAATCCCATTTCATTCACACTGATTTGAAATGATCTACTCGGCCTTCACGCCATTGTCAAAACCAATTTCGTTCGCGACTACCTTAGCATTAAATGATTCTCTCCCTGACCTAACTCATGGATTTAATGGGCGTTTGGAATTTCATTTTTAAATTTTACGAGGGTTGAGTGAAGGAGTAAGTGAAGAATTCCAACCACTAACCGAATATTTCTGTATAATTCAAACTTCAACTTCATCTTCCTCTACCTTCAAATTTAACACCATTTGATTGAAATTTCCTTGAAATTTTTTCTTTATATGTTTGGATTTAGTAGTAAAAATGAGCTCTCCACAATTGTTCCCGCTTCCCAATTAGAGGAGGTAAATGCGTTTCCTTCATTACATATAAGACTACTTGAACTATTTACATTCTTCTTTTACGGGGTGTGTGATAGACTTACCTCCACGTGGCGCACCCTGGGCAACGTATACTCATACGGCAAAAAAGTCAATTAACTGCACCCTGGGGAACGTATACTCATACGGCAAAAAAGTCTAACCCTGGGCAACGTATACTCATACGGCAAAAAAGTCCATTAATCGGCTGGGCAACGTATACTCATACGGCAAAAAAGTCAATTAACCGGCAGTTGACTTCTAACTCCAAACCATCATCACCCCAGTGTATGCCATATTCGATTAATTTCGTGGTACTCACCTCACATTTTTTCTACCTTTGTGTCTGTCTCTTTTACATCTTTGAATCACTCTTCTGTCTTCCCCCCAGACTTTTTTCCACTTTGATGTTCATTCAACTCTGTGAAGCCTGAAGTCAACTAAAGGGCTAATGATAACTATCAAAATGCCTGCCATTTGATATAAATAAATAAAATACATTCTTCTTTTACTAAATCATTACTAACTTCTAGCTATCATAAACTCGGTTTTAATAGTTTACAAAATATTTCACAACTTACAACTTGAGCATATCTGATGCGAATCTGCTTTTATGCAAGTTGACACATGTCTATCCAGTGAGAAACGTCATGAATAACGATCCAAATGCCCCACACTTCATGTAAAGATTGTAACTATGCCTGAACATCAACCGAAATATCATTAATGAGAAGGTTGATGCTGCCTCTATTTAGACTTTAATGGAGGTGAGAGGGAAGATGGGGAGGAAACCCCTTAGGTTACCTCATAATTCGAAATATCTCCAGCTATTATGCTTTGGATTAAGCAGTTCAACTACAACTTCTCCTACAATCTAATTTTAACATTATTTGATTGAATTGCACCCTTCAAAGTGACAATCTAATAAAAATAGCATCAAGTTCTCTCAGGTGAACTCAACCACATGAAAGTCATGTCCATACTACTCCAAGGAGAGTCTCCTCCAAATCTACCATCTCTCTTGTTGATCAAAGCAAAACTGGACTCTTGATCACTTTCACCACTGGATGGACACTGATTTGTCGGACGTGCAGACATACACACATGCACACACGAGCACGTTGACCACTTTGTCTCCGACACAAGATGCCTCGGAATTTCATTTTAAATGATATACATTCTTTGTCCACTTCGTCATTCGGCAAGTAAATTCATGTTGTCAGTATTTTAACAATGCCACTTAGCGTTACAACAAAAATTCTTTCTTCCTCACTCATTCATATCTAACGTGATTCCGTTTGGTTGGATCGATTAAGGTTGTATTTTAACTTGAATTCAACTAGTTTCAATAGGCATCAATAGCATCTTAGCAGCAGTGGACTACTTCTGTTCAACAACTTCACTACTGACTTCGCCTTTTAGTTGGCAATCCGAACACTTATGAGTAAAATCTGCATTTTACTAAATTTATTCTTCATTGCTTATGTAACAATTAATCGAAAGTGCTAACCCTCTTAAAACCATGCCTACCAACTCTGGTTTTGCCCAATTTTCAAAGGAAAAAAACCGCCAATATGCAATAACCACTGCTCGAAAATGGAAGTCAATTTCTTAAACAAGAAATGGTTTGCGAAAATATTAGAAAAGAAATTGATTCCTGCAACCCAGTAGGCATCTTAAGGTTTCGAAAATTGGAGACCTGGCAAGTGCATTCTGGTAAAAATTAATTTTTTTGCTTATTCATGATTTTATAGCATCCAATCGTTTAACTTGAGTGAAGTAATACATGCGCACAGTAATTCACATAAGCACTAGTTAAATATGCTTTACAATATGAAATTCGCATTTTGTTTGGAGATATATGTGGTTGCTTATACGTAATTACTTGTCTGCAACTGGAGTAGCATTGCTATTTTGTCTCCTCATTCTATACAGCCAGAAACGTGCCCTCTGGAATTCCAACTTGATAGGTGCGAATGTTCCGGACTCACAAAGACCCACTCACTCTAATCCAATAATCTTGCCTAGGAAAAATGACACATCATATCATCAATTTTGTCAATTACTTCGCAGCCAATATCCCATAATCGACGGTGCAGACGGCGATATGGATATTGCATTCACTATGGTGGTTCACAGGGATATCAAGCAAATAGCAAGACTTCTTCGAATGATCTATCGTGGAAACAACTACTATTGCATTCATACTGA